TACCAGCTCTGCTCCTTGTAGCCAAGCTGACTCCAAGGGGCTGAGATAACTTTATCTCAGGTGGTTTACAGCAGGGGGAGAAAGGTGTCTGTGTGTGTGCATGTGCACACACACGTGGGGTTGCAAAGAGTCGAACATGACCGAGTGACTTTCACTTTCACTTTCACTTTTCACTTTTCAGGGATCAAATCCTTGTTTCTTATGTCTTCTGGGGCTTCCCTGATAGCTCGGTTGGTAAAGAATCTGCCTGCAATGCAGGAGACCCCAGATCAATTTCTGGGTTGGGAAGATCTCCTGGAGAATGGATAGGCTACCCACTCCAGTATTCTTGGGCTTCCCTGGTCACTCAGCTGGTAAGGAATCCACCTGCAATGTGGGAGACCTGGGTTCGATCCGTTGGTTGGGAGGATCCCCTGGAGAAGGGAAAGGTTACTCACTCCAGTATTCTGGCCTGAAGATTCCATGGACTGTATAGTCCATGGGGTTGCAAAGAATAGGACACGACTGAGTGACTTTCACTTTCACTTATGTCTTCTGCATTGGCAGGAGTGTTCTTCACCACTAGCGCCCCCTGGAAGCCCTGGGGAGAAAGATAGGCAAACAGTAAGTGAACAGACTGTCACATGAGAGCGGGCCTGCGAGCTGTAACAGTGGTCGGTGCCGTGTGTTTCAGCAGCACTGAATGGTTACCTCCCTGGAGTCCTGAGGAAGACCCATCCGGCAGGTCCACTTGCACTAGGTTTGAAAGGTGAATGGGAGTTAACTCCCACTCAGAAGAGGGGTTGGGACATCTCAGGTGCAGGAGAGATCTAGGGCAAGACCTGAAATCAAGACCCGAAAGATCTAGGCATGCAGGGAGACGAGGGAGGCATTTGGGGTGAGTGGAAAATGGGGTCTACTGGGATAGACTTGGGAGGCAAGGGATGAGGCTGATAACAGGTGGATAAACAGGTACATATGTGGTGACCAGACTGTGCTAAGGAGTTTGGGATTAACAGATTAATGTTTGTTAGTTGGGTGAATAATTAATAATGTGGGTCATGAGGCATCATGAAAATGTGTTTAAGCGGATGAAAGTCATCCCATCTGTGTATTAGGAGGATCTTCTTGATGGCTGAGCATCAGATGGAGAGGAGAGAAGACGCCAAGACCCAGGGACCTGCAGGGAGGTTCTGGTGACCGTACAGGTGGTAGGTGATGAGGACCTGAATTGGGGGTGGCAGAGGGGACAGAGAGAAGGAGTTGGCTGTCGGAGCTATCTGGGAACAATGACATCATACTGCGGACCGTGTGGCTGATTATATTTGCTCACAGTTGCTCCTGGCCTCCGCAGCTTGCTGTGACTTCTCAGTGGACAGGGCATAGTTCTCACTTGCCCATGTGACTTGGCTTTGGTCAAGGGTGCATGACTGACCATGTGCTCCATCTCACCCCAGGCTCCAAGTATGTGTGTTACCATTTTAATGACAAGGAAACTGAGGCTCAGAGAGGTTAAGTAACTTGCTCAAGGTCCCAGAGCTAGTACATCAGAGAAGAGGGATTTGAGCCCAGGACTGTCTGACTTGCAAAGCCCTCTCCCACCCTACATGAGTATGCTAACTTCTGGGATAGCTACATGAGTATGCTAACTTCTGGGATAGCTACATGAATATGCTAACTTCTGGGATAGCTACTTTTACCTGCCAGAAAAAGCCGCTTTCAGTTTTCTGTGTTTCTGAGGTGGGAAGGGGTGGGGCCCAGGGAACCAGCCCTTGGGTTTGAAGAGACCCCCAGGTCATCATCAGTGGATGTGTGCTTGAGAGGTCTTCTCCCGCCTCTGGGATGGAGGCTGATAATTCACCTCTACCTACCTGCTCGGGCTCTGCTGAGCCAAGCTGAGCATGTTGCCAGCCTGTGTGTATCCCATAGGCAAGGAACTAAGCCTGCCCTGGTGTAGAAGAGAGTTGACTCTTGATGCTAGCCACGGCAGCAGCAGTGGCAAAATCCTGGCTGTTGGCCTATTGATTTAGCTGGATGTCTCAGAGAAGCAAATCCAATTTAAAATACATCTTCAGAAAAAGAAGGATCAGTGAGTTGAAATGGAAAGCTATTAGCTGGCTGAATTAGGAAAACTCCCTTTGTCCTAAAATGGTCTAAGAAAAATCCTCTTAGTACAATTTTGCAGGAGCCAAACGTGTGAGAGGATCACTCTGTCTCTGTCATCCTCTGAGGGCAGGGCTCTGGCTCGGATAAAATAAGAGAAGGAGTTTATTTAGTTGCCTTGTTGGTTAGAACCTGTGCCGATGAGGCTGGATTCTGAGGCTGACCCAGGAAACTCCTTGGTTCTCAGGCTGACCAGGAGACTCCTTGCCCAGACTCCCTGGGCACTTTGTATGCCCAGTTCTTTTGAAAAAATGTGGAGAAAGAGCTTGGATGAGAGAGGGCAGCCACTGCTCACACAAAACCATCATCCCTAGCAGGCAAGTTGCTCCTGGTGAGGATGGGAGAGACATGGGCTGAAGCACTCTGCTGCTGCTAAGTCACTTCAGTCGTGTCCGACTCTGTGCGACCCCATAGACGGCAGCCCGCCAGTGTTTCACGCTCCAGCTTGAACATCCTCTCTTCCGTATTACCCTTTCCTCTGGTGCCTGCCCAGGTCATCACTCATACTGGAATGATTCTGGTATCATCACATTTATCTCTTAAACTACTACGATCAACTCGTTTTGAAGATGAGGAAACTGAGGCTCAGAGAAATCGAATAAGCTTCCCCAAATCTCAGAGTTAGTCAATACCTGTTCCAGCCTGCCCTGCCTTTCCTTCTCTTTTCCCTTTTGCCTTCTTCACTGAGATTTCAACACAAAGGGAGACTTCCTCAGGAAAGACCTCCCTAAACATTTTGTCTTGGTCAGTCCCACCTATTGTACACTTTCATAAGGCCATATACTCTTCCTGCATAGCACTTGCGACAGTTGTAATTGTACATTTCTCTGGATGACTCTTGGACTAAAGCCTATACCCAATACTAGACATAACCTTGTGGAAGGAAAGGGCAATGTATATATATTGACCTTCCTGGTGGCTCAGGGGGTTAAGAATCTGCCTCTAATGTGGGAGACCTGGGTTCGATCCCTGAGTTGGGAAGATCCCCTGGAGGAGGGGATGGAAACCCACTCTAGTGTTCTTGTCTGGGAAACCCCAGGGACAGAGGAGCCTGGTGGGCTACCGTCCATGGGGTTGCAAAGAGTCGGACACAACTGAGTGGCTACACCTTGACATATATATACCTTTGTATTCTCAGCAAATAAAACAGCAGCTGGGACATAATAGGTGCTCAATAAATATTTGTTGGATAAGTGAATGAAGAACTGAAATTCAACCCCCTGTCTCTAAAGTCCAAGTTCTTTTCTAATATCACATGTTGCTGCTCCCCAGGAGGACAAGATGGGATGGAGGTAATTTCAGGGTGGGGGATTACAGTACAACGCATTAGAGAAATTACCATTTGTGGGGTGTGTGTGTGTGTGTGTGTGTGTGTGTGTGTGTGTTGGTAGTGGTTTGAATCCAGCTTGTGTGTGGAGGAGGGGCAGAAGCTGGGGCACTGGGCAAGGACATAATGGTTAAAAGACTTAAAAGGATCAAGGGTTGCAGGGAGCTACTGAAGGTTTTTCATTATGAGAGGCTCATAGTTATATTTGAGAAAGATCACTCTGTCTGGCACCGAGTGGAGAGTGGATAGAACCCAGAGGCTAGGATCTTGTCATCATGAAACAGCTTAGAGGAGGAATAGTCCCGGGCAGGGATGTCAGTGGAGAGAGGGGTGGTCCAGCACCTAGGAGATGGGGAGGGGAACTAGTAAGTGTGAGTAAGTCCCTAGTTTTAGACATAGACCGCTGGACAGAGCGTCTTGTCATCTATGGGAGCAGAAAGCACTGACGCAGGGAGACGGTTTGAGCGGGGAGAGGCTGTCTAAGGACGAGCAGGCTGGCTGTGGGACTAGGGTGCAGGTGGGGGCCAGTGTGGATGGGGCAGGTGGGTCAGGATGGAGCGAGACTAAAGAAGGGATAAGAGAGTCCAGCCCGTTTCTAGATCTCAGTGCAGTACAGGTGTGTGGATCAGCGGGTCTCCAGTGAGACTGGGCAGAACCCTGCTGCCTCGTCCATTTCTGTCTGCAGCTGCTTTCCGTGGAGCTTAACACCAGACCTGACCACTCACAACTGGAGCTTGTCAGCTGGGAGGGAGGTGAGATCCAGGCACACTGCCCACTCTGTCCAGTGTTTCCCCACCTTTGTTTTAAGAATCTGGGCTTTGGGCCATTATTCAAGTGTCAGCTTCCTCTTCCGTTAAGAATGAGACAGGAATCCATCCACCCCTCTGAAGGAAGGTCTGAAAGCACCCTGCAGGGGGAAACCCTGGACTGGCTGGAGGTCCCTCCCTCCTGCTTGCCTGCTGTATTCACCCGAATTGTTCCCCAAAGGGAAAGCCATGTAAGGATTGGGGGTGGGCGAGGCGAAAGGGTTTTCCCAAGAGGTCAGTATTAGGATGGATGCTCGGAGAAGTTGGGAGGAGATGTTCCCTGGAGAAATCACCTCCTGGCTTCACTGAAACCTACACCACCCGATGGGGAAAGAATCGTCCCCCCATTTTGTGGAGGAGGAAACCAAAGCCCAGGGAAGTTAAAGAAGACTCTTAAGGTCACATAGGCAGGAAAAGAGTCCAGAGTGGGGCTTCGGTCTATGAGAAATCCAAAGCCCTCCTCTTGAAACACTTTCCCGGTCTAGAAGCCAGTGATTCCAAACGTGGTCAGGGCCAGGGCACCAGGGCTGGGCTGGCACCTCTTCAGCTTCCTGGGGGCGCGGGTCTGGGTCTTCCCAGGGCCAGGGTCTGGTACTAGGGCGCTTCCCGAACCTGCGGGTTTGGTCGCCGGACTCTGGCGGTCTCTGCGTGCAGAGTAAGGGCGCCAAGGCATAGGTGGGGCGGGCGCGCGGGAGACTGGAGCGCCGAGGCGCTGGGGTATGGGGCCGCCCGGGGGGCGGAGGGCAGAAGTCAGGACCGCGCGCAGCCCGCCTTTGCCGCCGAACGCGATATGCTGCCTCCGGGGCGCAACGGCACCTCGCACCGGGCGCGGTCCGGGCAGCAGCAGCTGGCGCAGGGGGGCGCCGTGGGGGACTCGGAGGGGGCGACGCTGCTGGGGCCAGCGCAGGTGGTCACGGCCGGCCTCCTGACCCTGCTCATCGTCTGGACCCTGCTGGGCAACGTGCTGGTGTGCGCGGCCGTCGTGTGCAGCCGCCACCTGCGCGCCAAGATGACCAACGTGTTCATCGTCTCTCTCGCGGTGTCCGACCTCTTCGTGGCGCTGCTGGTCATGCCCTGGAAGGCGGTGGCCGAGGTGGCGGGTTACTGGCCTTTTGGGGCCTTCTGCGACATCTGGGTGGCCTTCGACATCATGTGTTCCACCGCCTCCATCCTGAACCTATGCGTCATCAGCGTGGACCGCTACTGGGCCATTTCCAGACCCTTCTGCTATGAGCGCAAGATGACCCAGCGTGTGGCCTTGGTCATGGTCGGCCTGGCGTGGACCTTGTCCATCCTCATCTCCTTCATCCCAGTCCAGCTCCATTGGCACAGGGATAAAGTGGGCTCCAGGGATGGGCTGGACCCTCCATCCAACCTGGCCAACGGGACGCCTTGGGAGGAAGCCGGGGAGTCGGATAGGAGTGCGGAGAACTGCGACTCCAGCCTGAACCGAACTTACGCCATCTCATCCTCGCTCATCAGCTTCTATATCCCGGTGGCCATCATGATTGTGACTTATACGCGCATCTACCGCATCGCTCAGGTGCAGATCCGTAGGATCTCCTCCCTGGAGAGGGCCGCGGAGCACGCGCAGAGCTGCCGCAGCCGCGACACCTGCGCGCCTGACACGGGCCTGCGGGTATCCATCAAGAAGGAGACCAAGGTCCTCAAAACCCTATCGGTGATCATGGGGGTCTTCGTGTGCTGCTGGCTGCCCTTCTTCATCCTTAACTGCATGGTCCCCTTCTGCAGCGGACACCCCGAGAGCTTCCTCTGCGTCAGCGAGACCACCTTCGACGTCTTCGTCTGGTTCGGCTGGGCCAACTCCTCCCTCAACCCCATCATCTACGCCTTCAACGCTGACTTCCGGAAGGTGTTCGCCCAACTGCTGGGGTGCAGTCACCTGTGCTCCCGCACTCAGGTGGAGACGGTGAACATCAGCAACGAGCTCCTCTCCTACAACCAGGACACCGCCTTCCACCAGGAGATCGCAGCTGCCTACATCCATCGGATCCCCAACGCGGTGACCCCGGGGGACGCAGAGGTGGACAAGGAGGAGGAGGAGGCAAGCCCTTTCGATCGAATGTCCCGAATCTCTCAGACGTCCCGGGAGGGTGACCCTGCTGGCCAGTCGGTCTGGGAGCTCAGCTGCGAGGGGGAGATTTCGTTGGGCAAAATCACACCTTTCACCCCAAATGGATTCCATTAAGCTGCCTAAGCACCCTTCTTTGCGGATCAACATAGCTGCACAGGCATTAACAAGCATGCAGAATACACACGGGACACACATAAATGCATTTTCACTGCTGCTAAGTTTATCAGGCCTTCAGTGTCGGTGTAGTAGCCCATGTGCTCAGAAACCTCAGCGACTGATTTGTTGTGGAATGATTTGGAGAGAGCAGTTGGAAAAATCTTGGTCAAATGTACCCTAAGCCTAGCAGAGATGGACCCACGGTTCTGCTAGAGAAGATAAGATGGTAATTGATTCCCCCCCACACCAAAAAAGTGGTACTTGGTCTTTAAAAAATATACTCTCCCCTCCCCTTTTAAGTGAATAGATTGTTCATTGTGAACAAGTGACTTCAATGTGTTTGGGTTGATTTTTAAGCAATAGGTTCAATCTGTGTGTAGCCTGATGGGGACTGTCTGTATGTCTTTCCTGTATCTTGCTTCCTGTGGCCTGTGTTTTGTAGTTTCTGCTTTCTGTATGTCTTTGCTCCAGCTGAGGAATTCTTCCCGATCTGTTCTGATGTCTAATAAACACAAATTATGTGTTCTATGGGGTGATTATTGTTGCTTTGCCAGATTGGTTTTCAGGACAGCTCCTGGAGAAGCCACAATAGCATCCTTAAAAGCAGGGATGATTTTGGCTAGGTCTGGAAGCACATATTTATTTTCTTTACTGACACTTTGGCTTTAAAGGTACACACAGGGGCAAGAGTTTCTGATATCTCAGACTCTTTAAAAATTAGATATACACATCTCAAGTATATGCTGAAATCTGGCTCCATGCCACAACATCAAATATGGACTTCTTAGGCTCGCTATCCCAATTTTTTTTTCTCAGTTGGAATCTTCTTTTCAAAACTACATAATGTAAAACATTTCTCCGGATCCCTAGACAGATGCTATTGGTTCATTGGTTCTATGTTATTCATATAGAATAATTGCTGGTCTTTCTCAAACTCAAATCTATAACATTTTAAAGTTAGCTGACTTTTGATCTACTGTGTTTTCTGAAGGAGCTTTGAAATGTTTGAGTTGATATGCTTTAAAAAACAAATCCGATTTTTAAATAGACATTTTCATTTGTGGACAACAGGAAGTGAGGGAATGCATTTTAATTAAAATATAGGAGCCAGAGATGGTATTTGAGTGACCCTGAAATCAGGAAATCTTTCAAGGTGCTCAACAAAAAAGCCCAGTGAATTCCAGTCTTTTAGTTTTTCCTCTCTGCCACCTGCACTGCAGAGGGGAGGCGTTTAGTTCCAGAGCCATTCCAGACCAGAGCATCTTTTTACCCTTAGATCTAAATGTGAGCATTGTTAATGGAAGCAAATGAAATGTGAATATGTAATTTCATACAAGTCCCTACTTTGAAGCAGGTTTCTCAAGGACAGTTCAATCAATTTTGGTCTCTTTAGGGATAATTTTATTGTCAGTCTCTTGAACAACCAGGTCTTGCTCACCGCAATATGTGCAGTGCCTGGCATGTAATGCTTAATAGACAGTTGTTGAATGAATAACGCACTCTCTCTGGAATGATGAGACTGAAAGTGAATCCTATTTGATACATTAGTTTTCATTTATGACTGAGTCAAATTGATCTGAGGTCTAATGTTCCATTTGTGACCCCTTGTGAGCTGATTGCTAAGGGGACCATTAAGGAAATCAAGGACAGGGAAAAGCATCCTGCTTGGAGATTCAGGAGAGAGCTGTGTGACCTTGAATGGGTCAACTAACCTCTCTGGGCCTAACTTTATGTCTGCCTCTGTAAATTGAAAGACTTATACTAAGGCACAGTTTTCCAAATCATGTTCCATGCTGCAAAAGTCAGTAGATAAGGTCTAGGGTGAAATAAATTTTGCAAACCCAGGTCCAATATCTGTTTCCTACAGGGCTTCTTAGAGCTTTACCTGTCAACAACAGTGAATCTCCAGGCAGGAGAGAATTCTGCATTGTTTTCTAATGTCTTTGGCCTCATGAATCCTTGTTTGGGGCAATTCCTTTTTGCTCTCTTGCTGGAGGTCACAGTTGCAGGGAACACAGTTTGAGAAACTAATTGGTCTGAAAATCTCAAAAATGCAACTCTTCTATTCTAAAGGACCCGCTGTGACAAGAAAATTTTTTAAATTGCTGCCAAACATCTTTCTAGGCCCCAGTTCAAATAATTTCTGTGTTAGAAGATGAATTATGTGGGAACTTTGGGAATGCTTTCTGCAAAATACTACTCATCATCCATTATAATCATTTATACCTACTATGTGCTAGGTACTCTTCTAGGAATGTAATCCCCAATTAACTCCTCTGGTGTCGGGAAACTTATGTTTTGTTGGGAGAGAGACAGCAAACAGCACTTCTCCAGATGATGCTACTACAAAAAAATACTGTACTGTACTGCAGGATTCTGCCATCCAGACTCTGAAATGTCACATCAGGCAGTGATAACTGAGAGATTTGAAATAAACCAGAGTGAGTTGAGTGATGTGGCTGCTGCTTAATTTAGGGCGGTCAAGTGGGAGTTATGAAGGGAGACTCAGATGGAGAAGGAAGGCTCAGGGTGACCATAGGGTCCAGGGGAGGAGTGCTCTGGGTGGGGGGGGGCGTGTGGCCAGTCCTGAGGGGTGCCGTGGGAGAGAGAAACATGCCCAGGTGACTGCAGGGCTGGAGAGGGTTACGCTCAGGACAGTGGCAGGCACAGTAGAGGCTCATTCTGCGCCCGGCTGCACATGTGCAGATTCATTCAATCCTCGCAACCCCACAAGGCAGGCACTTCTGTTACCCTCATTTTACAGACGGGAAATGAAGGCATTAGGAAGCTCAGGAACTAGCCCCGGGTCACACAGCTCGTGAGTGGCCGAGCTGGACTGGAGAGCCTGGCCGTGGAGTCTTCCTAAACTGCCCTGCAGAGGTGAGAGGAGCTGCCAGAGCATCTCCTTCAGCAAATGCACTGATGCCGGGATCAGGGTACTCCTCGTTCACTTGTTAATTACCTGGTGAACAGATGCACCCCTATGAAACACTGCGGTGGTTAAGTTGCTAAGTCGTGTCCGACTCTTGCAATCCCACAGGCTGTAGCCTGCCAGGCTCCTCTGTCCATGGGATTTTCCAGGCAGAAATACTGGAGTGGCTTGCCATTTCCTTCTCCAGGGGATCGTCCTGACCCCGGGGTTGAAACTGGGTCTCCTGCACTGCAGGCAGATTCTTTACTGACTGAGCACTCCTATATCCACATGTAAAGCTGATTTTCTTTTTGTTTATTTCTAAAATTAATCTTCACATTTTATTTTTTTGTTGGAGGATAATCGCTTTACAGTGTGGTGTTGGCTTCTGCCATACAGCACCATGAAGCAGTCATAATCGTACATATGTCCCCTCCCTCTGAAGTCTCCCTCCACACTCCCATCCCACCCTCGAGGTCATCATGGGGTGCCAGGCTGGGCCCCCGTGTTACACTGTACACACACCCTGGGTGCTACTTTGTGTTTGGAGGGGAGGCAGGAGTGGAAAAAGCAGCCTGTATTTTGACCAAGTGCTTTCCTAATCCCTAGTTAAATCTCACACTAACCTTACATACTATTATTTTCCCATTTTACAGATGAGAACCCTGAGGCACAGAGAGCTTAAGTTGGTTGTCCAAGGTCATATGACGAGTAAGCGGTGGAGCCAGGTTTTTCCCCAGGCCTGTGGTTCTCAGTAGGGACAGTTCTCATCTTGGGGGACGTGTGGCCGTGTCTGGAGCATTTTTTGGTTGTCTAATTGGGTGTGAGGTGCCATCTAATGGGTAGAGGCCAGAGATGCTGCTAAACCTACTGTGCACAGGATGACCTCCCACAACAAAGAATGATTCGGCCCTGAATGGCCCCTGAGCCCAGGTACCAGATGCCTGCCCCCAAGCCACGCTGTCCAGGCTTTGAAGTACCTCAGCCCCACGTTCAACATTTAGCTCCCCTTTTATTTATTGTCTGAATTTGGGCATGTCTTCTAGCTTCAGTTTCCTTGTCTGAGAAATGGATACCTTAACCCCAAAAGTCTGGGCAAGGATTGAATGAGTCTGTGTAACACTGAGGTTATTTTTGTGTCTTTCTTTTCCCCCTTCTTTTCTTTCTTTTAAAGAACTCTACATTTGATACATTTTAAGACGACTTGGAGGTTCCTTGCTTGGGTAGAGCTACCTCGTCCTGGAAGTCAACAGTCCCAAGAGCTGAGACTCATCTTGTCTTGTTCCCACAAGTCTTGTTCTCCTTCTCAGCTTAGACCAATGTTGCGCATGGAGTCCTGAGGTGGTGCCCGCTCCGCTGTGTCTGACTCTTTGTGACCCCACAGGCTGTAGCCCACCAGGCTCCTCTCTCCTTTACCACGGGAAGCCATGGCGTAGTTGCCAGGCTCAGGTGATGTCCCTGAGTATTGCTGCTGCTGCTGCTAAGTCGCTTCAGTCGTGTCTGACTCTGTGCGACCCTATAGACGGCAGCCCACCAGGCTCCCCCGTCCCTGGGATTCTCCAGGCAAGAACACTGGAGTGGGTTGTCATTTCCTTCTCCGATGCATGAAAGTGAAAAGTGAAAGTGAAGTCGCTCAGTCGTATCCGACTCTTCGAGACCCCATGGACTGCAGCCTACCAGGCTCCTCCATCCATGGGATTTTCCAGGCAAGAGGACTGGAATGGGTTGCCATTGCCTTCTCTGGATGTCCCTGAGTAACTAGGTGTTTACACAGAGAGTCTGAGGCTGTGTAGTCTGTAGAGGTGGCGGTCCTCACATCTGGGGCTTATCAAAGTCTTGCAGGGTGGAAATCCTCACGAGGAGTGTTATCATGGGGCAGCACACCTGAATGCCCTTTATCACTAGCGAAGTGCCTGCGGAGTGTTACCCTCTCAGTCCTCCAGTGAGGTCGTTCCAGCCTGCCTGGTGAAGAGGTGAGGCAGTTGACCTGGGGAGGGGTCCAGAGCCTCACCCTCGGTCACCCAGCCGGAGGCACCCACGCTGAATTTAAAGGCGGCCTTAATTCCAGCATCCTCTCCACCACACTGCATGGAAGGAGCACGTGACGACAGATGCGTGGTGAGCATGTCCTTGAACTTTGTATCTTCACTCCCCTCAACCTGGGGCTTCTCCATGGCTCAGCAGTAAAGAATCTGCCTGCCAGTGCAGGAGCCATAGGAGACACAGGTCCGATTCCTGGTGTTGGGAAGTTCCCCTGGAGGAGGGCATGGCAACCCACTCCAGTAGTCTTGTCCGGAGAATCCCATGGACAGGGGAGCCTGGTGGGGTAGAGTCCACGTGGGTTGGAAAGAGTCAGACACTACTGAAGCAGCTTAGCCTTTCTGTGCTGATTTCCTAAAAACAAGGGATTTTCTTATCTAACCTACATGCCTTATCAGATTTCATGATAATGGTTTTTCATAGTGAAACAAGCCAAGACATGTGTTGCTGGTTCTCTTTGTGTGTGCCCATCACTCAGTAGTGCCATCCCATGGACTGTTGCCTGCCAGGCTCCTCTGTCCATGGGATTCTCCAGGCAAGAATGCTGGAGTGAGTTGCCATGCCCTCCT